TGGAACAATATGAAAACAAAGACATTCAAAATTTCTGTAGAGAAAAAAAGGGTTCTACAGTTGAAGAGTCAATCCAGAAGTATGCATCTCCTTTGCATGAAGCTCTAAGGGCCAGAAATGAGGATGCAATACGTCTTTTGATAGGGAAAAAAGCAGTATTTTCATTCACAAGTTGGAGAGGATGGCAATTTCTGCATGCTTGCTATGAAGAGCCACAGATTTGTTGTTTGGAAATTCTTGAGGCAGTTCTTGCATTTGATGCAATTAAACCTAGTTCAGATACAAATGCTACGAAAGGTGCTTTGAATTATAATCAGATATTAGCAACCGGAGAAAGGACATTCTACGAAGACATAGTGGCAAACATCGATAATTCCATAATTGAGCAAGGCTCTCACGAAAGAATTTTACTAGACTTAGTTAAAATTCCCACCCTTGAAATAACAAATGGATTGATAGATGCATACTCTTCACTTTCTGATATCAGAAAGTATTCTGATATGAAACGCCAGAATCCATTAAATATAACTGATGAAAATGGGGATTCTATCCTTCATCTACTCATAAAATTCAAAGTCTATTATTCAAAAACTGTTGGAGGACACTTTGACAGTAATGGCAGTCCTCATACAGAAGAAGTGGAGGAAGAGAAGGAAGAGGCGTTAGCATTGTACCCAGAAGAAGTAACAACTGAGGGTCAGCATGATGATGCATATGAACAAATTGAAAATCAAAGTATCCTCTTGCAGATGATAGGCAGATTATATGTCAAAGGTATTGACATTAATATGAAAAATAAAAAGGGAGAGACTCCACTTATGATTGAGGTCAGCAAATTTAACCCATCCATTGATGTTGTTAAAAGTCTTTTACACTACAGAGGGAATCCAAATGCACAAGACATTATCGGGAGAACCTGTTTACACACACTCCTTCTCCAAAACTATGAAGAAAACGTGGCAATTGAACGCTTTCTTGATCTTTTAATACAACATGGTGCAGATGTCAATAAAGCTGACAATTATGGTAATAATCCTATTTTTGTAGAATTAAAAAGGCAAAAACCGAGAACGAATATTCTAAGATTCCTCACACAAGCACCGATAGATTTAAGAATAGAAGATATGCATGGAAAAACCGCACTTCACGTCGCTCTATTATCCACCTATGATGAAGGAATTTCGAAGGAGGAGATTACAAGTGTTCTCTTGAAATCGAAAAATTTGAATGTGCTTACCTATGACAATACCGGTTTGTCTGCTTTCAGGATTGCAATGGAAAATGCAGGTTCTCATGATATATTGAAACAACTTGCTCAACATGATTCATGTCAATTTCCCCTTCATGCATGTATAAAAGAAGATGTTAGCGAAAATATCAAGATTGAGGCTCTGAAACAGTTGATGTCGACTAACAATGCAAAAATAAGAAATTCAACCAAGGGTCTAGATGACCAGACACTGCTAATAACAGCTGTACAGACGTGTCCAAACATGGTCCAGCTCCTCAACTTCTTACTGACCGCAAACATTGACATAAATGCAAAGGACACTTATGGAAAAAATGCCCTGTTTTATTTAATTTCATCTGACACTGAATTTAGCCTTCGTGAGTCTGCTCTCAATTTACTTCTTGCAAAAGGACCCTCTGTTCATGACAAAAAAGAATCAAAGGACTCACACTCACCACTCTCACTAGCAATGCAATTTATAACAAGTAGATCATTCCTTTTTGAATCTTTAGATCCTTTAGAGTTTCCATCTGAAGCAATAACGAAGAAAATGACTACAGAGGAATCCCCGAAAAAACAAAAGACAAGAAAAGATGTACAGTCTGAGAATATCTTCGATCTGAAAATTGAAATTGTTCAGAAAATTCTTGAAATAGCAACTGTTGACCTTAACTTCCCAGTTGATAAAAAACAACGGACATTTCTTCATTACTGTGCAAGCTCTCGTCTTGCAGATGACAAAACACGTGCGGTTTGCGAACAGCTTGTTAGACTTGGTGTAGATGTTGATAAGAGAGATGAAGATGGACTGACTTGCATCGATATGGCATTTAGATACTCAGTAAAAAATTTTCAGACACTTATATTCTTACTGGAAAAAAGTAAACATTTGGAAGATTTAGATATTGATGCTTTATTGGAAACTACCACATCTAAAAACTTTCTCTATGAGGAGTTGGTTAGATATTTGCAGCAGTGCATTTTTCATCGGACAAAACCAAGACGTAACATTTTTCAATATTTGGCTTCCATCTGCTATGATCCCAAAAGTCAACCGAAAGCTGAACGTGATAAAGTATTTGATGCTCTTCTAAAATCCTTTTCAATAGATCAAAAAAGCAAGACTGGACAAATTCCTTTGCACATTGCTATTGAAAGAAATGCAAGTGTTTCCTGTGTGCGAAGTTTTGTACGAATAAGCAAAGGATGTATAAATACACCTGATTCTGAAGGAAACACAGCATTGCATTTGGTCTTGAAATCTGATAGAGATGACACTGACGTGTGCACTATTGTAAAGAAGATGCTCAAATGTGATGTTGCTGTTGATGCCCAAAATGAAATGCTAGAAACGCCAATAATGTTTGCTGTTTGTTGCCCTAAAGATCGCACAGATACGATAGTTCAACTTTTAAAAGCAAAGACAGACCTGTTTCTAACAGACAGAAGAAAGTACAATATCCTTCATCATTGTGTTGGAGCACCAAAGAATGATATTGACGTGAACGCTTTACTTTCTTTGTTTATTGATAGTGATCGAACAGTCCCAGTTATGGAAAAGAACACAGAGGGTTACACGCCATTAAATCTTGCCGCAAAAACTGAAAAATTTAGTAGGATATTATGCATATTGAAACTATTAGAAGTGAAAGAGTGCACAGCGCACACAGTGGATCGACAGGGAAGAACACCACTGTTTAACACAGCATTCTTTTTAGAGGGAGATAGTCCATTAGTAGTACTTGAAAGACTCTTGCGTGGCTGTATATTTCTTATGCATGGAGACTCTCCGTCAGTAACGAACAACAAAGGAATGACTGTATTTGATATTTGTAATGAATATGAACACAGACATCTGGAAAACCTCTTGGAATCTGAGAAATCAGAAAAAATGTTCACAATAGTCAAACAAGCATGGATTAACGTGTCTTCTAGATATCTTATATTCGATAAAAATGATAACGATCCTAAACTGCAGTTTAGAAGTAACGTTGAAGAAAGGTTCAGAAAGCTTATTTCTGATTCACTGCCATTTTTGTCACACATAAGCTTTGATAATATCAAGAATGTAGAATTGACAGAAGAGGAGAATAACCTCTCGAGTGTTCCTGATCTAGAACAAGGGACGACTTTGAAGTAAAATGTAATGTTATTTGATTCTTTTTGAAGTACCTAGATTGGGTGCTGGTTTGAATTTTAAGCTGTCGTGTGAAGTATTGAATTGAACCTTTATCTTGTAATATGGAGAAATGTCACCGATGGATAAAGTGGAGGGAGGGGGGTTTACACCCAAAAATTGGGTTACATATATTAAACTACAAAGGAAAAACTTATTATTATATGCATTTTGAAACACCTATTAGATAATTTTATTAAATACAAGATTTGGCCCTTTTGCAAAAAAAATGCATTGATTTTACTTTTTCAAGCAAGCAATTAGTTTTATCGATAGATTTCTTTATCATGTGATATTTTTCTACTAAATTTGTCAATTAATTAGCCTAAAGTATCCCTTAATACCCTCCACAAACTCCGAGTAAAGTGTAAAAGTATGGGTTTACAGATAAAAAAAATTCTTTCGTCGTACATTGTACATTTGTTGCTTTGTTGCTGTTCATTTATAAGATTGAACAATTGTTGACTCAGTTGTCATATAAGGTACCATATCTGACATATTGACGAATAATATATATTTTGAATTCAACACTTTTATGAAATATAATGAATTGAATTTTAATGTATTCTTATAAACATGTTAAATCAATTTTGTTATGGATCTAGGCAAGAAAATGCATGCGATTGAAATTTTAAGTGGATAGACCTGTCTAATTCTGTATTTGCACTTGTACATTTGTTGAACACATATTTTATCGTATTATGATAATATTCTTGATTTAAAACAGAAACGATTTTTCACTTTACTTCCATTGGAAAAATTCTAGTAAGGTTGGCTTCAAATAAGGTATAATGAGAACACAAATATCTGATTATTTTATTTTAATTTTGTATATGTATATTTTTATGCAATTGATGGCAGCTATCAAGTTTTATTTTATAGTGCGAATAATGATTTTATGTTCAAGTATTTAGAAATATCTTTTTAAATGGTTTTTAATTTTGATATTTTCATTTAATTGCGAATACATTAAAAAAAACTATGAATTGTAAAATATATGTGTTCATGTTCAGGGCAAGTGTGTGCACCCAGTAAAACTTATTGCAATTTATTTTGCATTGTTTTTTTTATTATCTCAACTGATTTCTTCTGATCAGCGGTGTCCGTATTTCGTCCGTCTAGCTGTCTATCCCTCTGTCTGTAAACTTTTCATATTTTCGACGATATTCTCAAGAGCCACTGGGCCACTATGAACCAAATTACATGTAGGCTTAAATGCCCTAGGGTAAGAGGGTACAAAATTGTTAAAATGAAGGACCAAGCTGCATTTCAGGGGGGAGATAATCAAGAATAAAAAATGGTTGTTAATAAAATCTTGTCAAGAACCATTTGAGTAAGAAAAGCTAACACATAATGGAAGCTAGCTTTCTTGATAAATTACTTTCTAATTTGTTCGGGTCATGACCCCTCGGGGGTAGGATGGGCCACAATAGGGAACAGAATATGTACATTGAAATATATGTAAAAACTTTTCTTTTTTTTCTGAAAAGCGCTAGACTAGAGAAGCTGAAATTTAATTGGAAGCTTCAAGAGGTAGTATAGATTCTAAATTGTTAAAATCACAACTTCGGGTATAATATGAATGATAATTATATAGAAGCAATTCATTTTCTGGTAATATAGATTCATTGTAGTTTATAAAGATTCATTTTTGATTCATTTTTAGCTGAGAGATCGAATGAACTTTTTTGATGATCTGTCATCAGTCCGTCCATCTGTTAAATTGTCTCATTTTCAACGTCTTCTCAAGATTACATGGTCAACTTTCTCCCAAAATTGGTACAAAACAAGTGAATGAGAGTTGTGTATTATTTTAATGAAGGACCAATCCCCTTCCAAGAGGAGATTTTTTTTTAAAAATGCAAAACAGTGTGGAATGAATAGAAATCTTCCAAAGAACCACCAGGCCAGAGACGGTGAAATCTTTCTGGGTTAAGTGTAAATTCTAAACTGTTCAAATCATGGTCTCTGGAAAAGGGTTAGACAACAAAAGGAATTATGACTGGCTATAAAAATGGTTCAAGAAGACGATAATATGAATATACATACGACATAATTACGCCTGTAGTGCTTGGTATGCAGGGCTTTCCAAAACGTAGAAGAAAAAGTTACATATTTGTCAAAAAAAATTTACTAAATATTCAAGATAGAGTCTCTTAGGTTAGACTCAACCAATGTTTTTAATATTTTTCTAGGAAAAGCCCCTTCTTATCTTAACGAACATTTTTTACTTCGGTCAAATTTTAGTAGTTACCATACTAGATCAGCCTCAAATGCAGATTTTGTTGTACCATCAATTAAGCATAATCAATATGATTCTTTTTATTTTAATGGAATCAAAGATTGGAACATGTTACCTGCAGGAATTAAACCCATTTTAAATACTGAGTTTGCTTTTAAAACATGTTAATGATGGGCTCCCGATGAGAAGCGATGTGGGGCATCGTTGGAGACATCGCTGATTTGTAACTACAACTTATTTTCTACCGATGACCCCCGATTCGCCAAATGGCTTCAGTTACCTTCCGATTACTATAGGTGTCCGGCGTGCAACCACGCCATTTTTATCAAAAAACGCATCGGTAGCTCATCGTATACTCCATCTCTGGATAACGTGACTGATACCTTAAACTTCGCATTTTATGCGGTTTGGATGTACACATCGATAAATCCTGAAAAGGAACCTTTAATTCCATAATATATTGTCACTAATTGAATGATGGTATCGTTACCAGATTAGATCTTATAATATTGATTTTTGGATAAGAATTTTATTTTAATTGGGTCTTTGTATTTTGACTTTGCATACCATTTTGTACAGAGCTCAAAACATTTTCAAATTGGTAATTTTTTTTGTACTTTTATGAGCCCATTAATTATTCAAAAATACTATTCCCGGTTATTAAATTGAGATTTGAGATAAATACAATAATCGGTTATATTTTAAGATTATTTTATCCTGCTTAAACACTTATGTCTAAAATTTAGAGTCTGAAACACGCACACACACCCTCCATCACACGCACAGATGCAGAATGAAGTAAAACACCAACGGCAACAATTCAATGAAACGTTTGCAAGAAGTCAGATGTGACTATATGTTTATAAATATAATCTAATGTGAGTGTGTGCTGCAATGTCGACAATTTTTTAGAGATGACGCTTTGCATTTACATGTAAGTATACTTTTCGAGATAACTTTTTTGTTTCTCTTATATCGAAAGGCTAGTAATTTTTTAGCTTCATATTTCCATTAAAAATAATCTAACCTAACTTTACCAATGACAGTCTTGCTGTAGCCAAGACAGAGTTTTCGGGAACTTCTAGAGTTTTATAATTTACTCAACACCAAGATATTAGTTTCGAATATCTTTGCAGGGATTTAAAGTGTTTCACGGAGAGTATGGTTTGTGTTTAAAGGTGCATGGACACAGATTTGAAGTTAACATTTTCTGTATAATATTACGACGTATATTTTTAAATAGCATTTCACACAAAAATAAATTAAAAATCTTATTTTATTTAAAAGTTATTTAGGTCTTTCCACCTTTCTGTGGAAAGACCTATTGATTTCCTTCTGTTTCTTCTTTTTTATTATTTTTCCGCCGTGTGATTTTTTGTTTCAAGATTTATCGAAAAGATTGATAGTCCATAAGAATGTACTCCGTAAAAGATTACTGCAGTTCACCCTGCATAAATGAACCTTGACCGCTTTCGAAGTTATTGCCCCTTTTGCAAGAAATGCTTGTTATCGCTACTCCTCTGAAACCGTAAACCGTAGAGGTATGAAACCTTCACCAATGTCTTTGACTAATTCAGAGGACTCTTCAATCTATTCATTGCGAAAGCATTCGGTGACCCCTTCAATGAGTTATTGCCCCTGAAACTTTTTAAATTTAACAAAAAATTTAAAAATTTCAAAATAACAAGTCGTAGAAACATGGGACCAACTGCATATGATTCATTGACCTTTGACCTTCAAATTCATGTAAAGGTCAAAGGTCAAGGTCATTCCAAAAATGAGAAATTTAGCTCTTTTTATATCTCTTTTGTCTTTAAACATATACTTAATGTCTATGCATCATTAATATGTACTCTTAAAACTGTTTCAAAGATTTCACTCTTGTCCCCTAATATTAACCCTTTAAAAAGTTATTGCCCCTTGTGCAGAAAACCTTGTTATCGCTACTCCTCCAAAACCATAGACTGTAGAGACACCAAAACTTCACTAATGTCATAAGGGTCTTTAGGCCTAACTTCACTGTATAAGTGCAAATGGATCTGATGACCCTTTATATGAGTTATTGCCCTTTAAGTTTTTTGTACTTACTATTAAACCTTATAACTTGAAAACTATAAATCATAGAGGCATGGGGACAACTGCATTGTGACCCTTGACCTTTGACCTTGAATATTTTTCAAGATCAAAGGTCAAGGTCATTCATTTTTTTTTTAAATTTTCATTTTTTCTATGCTTTAAGGGAGTTTTGGTTTCTTTTTCTTGGAATTTAATTTTTAGTAGTCCGATATAAAACAAATTTAAAATTCAAAGAAGGTGGAAAGACCTCTTATTGTTCTGTGAACAATAAGTCTCCTAGTTAAACTTCAAATTTTTTGGCGGGTTTGATTGACAAATCCTTGCACTTAAAAAAGGTTTAGATTTATTCTTAATACTTTGGAAAAGTGGCAATCTTCTTGTGTATTTATGAGAAATATTTAAACTTTAATCCAGAATTCAGAATAAAAATGTTAGAAAGTAAAACTTCTTCACAAGTATCGTCATTCCGAGCAAAGTGCTGTGTACAGAGTTTAGCAAATCGATCTAGCCCGTTAAACGTAAACAGGGGCCCGTTTCATCAAAGGTCGTACGCCAAGTCGTAGCGCTACGCCGGCGTAAAGTCGGAACTAGCACGAAGATCTGCATTTCATTAAAATTTGACTAAATTTAGGCCAAAATTTTACGTCTACTCATGGGTAGGCGTAATTTTGGGCGTAAAGCTAAAATAAAACCTTTTTACTGATTATAAAACAATTTAGCGATTTCTAAAGAAATAGTACGGTTCTAAGAAGAATTTAAAATACAAACAATGCATTATTTAATTATACATACTAGGAAGAGTGGGAGGGGGAGGGGTGTTGTTACAACCACTTGGGGACGTAGTTGATTTCAGTAATAACGTACTTAATATTTTAATAAATTTCTGCTTAAAAGAAAAGATTAATTATTAGAGATTTTTTCGATCACCAATTCTTACGTTTTGACAATGTATTCATACACATGTGATTGTGGTATTGTATGGATAAGGTATTGTAAATCAACTATACATATGTAACTATATTTCTACACCCCGCTTGAAAAGCGGGAGGGTATATACTATATAGTAATCGGGATGTCCGTCCGTCTGTTAAGCTTTGGGGGTTCCCATCTCTATCCGCTACTCTATCCGCTACTCCTCATTCACAGAATCTTTATTACATATTGCCATTGTGCCTTATTGTACTTTTTGATCCGACACATATTTTGGGTGTCCCATAGCAAAACATGGACACTGCCACTATATTCATATGGGAGGCGGGGGGATGGTATCTTTTATTGAACTCATTGCTTACGGTACCTCTAGTTACCTTTTCTGTTTCATTCATTAAAAAGAGACCCATTAAAATTGTCTGTCTTGAAAGAAAAAAATTTCCCCAAACATATTTTCTGAAAAAAAAAAGAATAAAAAAATCGGTTTCAAAAGCACAGTAATCCTCTTTCTGGTAATTTTCTAAAGCCAAATAGTTTTTTTTAAATCATGTTTGAAGAGTCCATTTCTTATTTACTCCTCGTCCACATGCGTGAATCTAGAAAGGGTCGTAGAGAGGATTCAGAACCTCCCGAATTTGCAGATTAATTAACATTGAATGTACAGAGTACTCAGTTAAGGACGAAAGTAATAAATTTTTAAGGTATCTGGGACAAGTGAAGTTCCTGGCGAATCAAAGACGGAACCCAGGGAGGGGGGTCTCATAAACAATGAGATTTTTGAAATGGGAAATATATTATTGCTTTTATAATATCAATGTAAGATGGTGATAATTAAACACTTAAGTTCAAGAATGAATTATTCATTTTTTTTTCAG